TGGCAAGTTACCCCCTAACTACTATTACCTCAAAGAAAAAACTCAGTGCTTTGCTTCTTTCTCTTGGTTAGGTTGAGAAAAAAAAAAAAAAAAAAAAAAACGGAGCCAGGTAAACACTGCAGAAAAGTGTGCCAACAGAGCTAGCAGAACCACATCTGTAGGTAGGTGCTTCTGGACCCGATGAGGGGGTGACAGCTGGCAGGATTCCACTTCAGCCTGAGGATGGCAGGGGGCCAGTCACAGTGCTCCAGAATTCCAGGATGAATGTCATATTGTCCCCTGAGGCTTGGGTCTAGTGCTTAGAGACAGACCTGAGGCTTTAGAATAACTTACTTCTGACCCTGAGCCCAGTGGTCCGAGGGGGGGCGGGGGAACTCCGGCAGCTCTATAATGGGCAGGGCCTGGACTGAGTAGCCACACACACTGGAGCTGGAGCCTTGTCTCTGCCCCTGTCTGACTAGCACTTCAGGCTCAGCTCCCTGGGAGGACGACAGTTGCTCCTATACACCACTGAGGGAGGAACTCTGGTAAGACCTGTGTGTGTGTTTTCTCTGCCTCTTTCTTTATTTCTTCCAAGGAATCTGAGTTTTGTTGTTATTTGCTTGCTTGTTTGTGGGTTGTGGGTTGTTTGCTGGGTAGTGTCTGCCTGCCTGTGTGTGCTCTCTTGAGTCTTCTCATGTAGCCCTGGCTGACCTGGAACTCAGTTGTGTGGATCCAATAGCAATCATCCTGCCTCTGCCTCCCAAGTGCTCAGATTACAGATGTGAGCTGCAGTACCTGGCTAACTTCAAAGAGTCTTTTATAAACATCCCCCCCCCCCCAAGAATAACTTACAGTTAAGAAACAAACAAAAACAAATCTCTGCTGGAACAGAATTTGCCCTGCACACTTACCAGGGTTATTGAGTTTGTAGTGCCCTCAGCAGTTCTGAGACCTCCAGGGCAAGGACTCCTAACCACCCCAGTTCCCTTACTCTTGTATGAGGTGAGCTCAAGGGCTGGGCCAGGTGACAAAGCTCTGTTCACTGGGTCTTTCCCATCAGCAGAGACTGGCTAGCACCACCACCACCACTACCACACTCTATCTTTGTAAAGCCCAAAGCAGAGTTTTCTAGATGAGCTGGCAGCCATGCGGCAGGGTGGGAGGAAAGAGGTTTCCTGGAGAAGCACAGGTAGCCCCGGGCTTGTGTTATGGCATAGCCAGAAGGGGACAGTTCTCTAATGTTCCAGGCTGCCCTCAAAGCCATGCGAGGGATCACAGGGCCACTAGGCCCCCGTAGAACCAATCCATCATAATTGCCAGCCTCTAAATGCCCACCCAGGGAGAGCTGGCAAAGTAAAATCAGCCGCAGTGCCCACGTGAAGGGCTTTTGTTTCCTTTTCATAGTATTTTGAAGGTGCTGAAGGGAAATTTGAGAAAGGTATTTGAAGTAGGAACGGTGCTTTGTTCTAGGATTCTATAGCAAGAGCCTTGTAAGACAGCCTGGCCTCCACAGCAGCCCTGGCTGTCCCACCTCCCAGATCTTCAGGGTATCCCTAGCCTGGATATAGGATCCCCACTGGTGCTGACATAGATTGGCCTACAGAGTTAGTTCCAGGGTTCTCCACAGCATCCAGGGTATATGTTTTCTCTCTTCATGCTGGGCCCATGGTGGATGTCATTCAGACCTGACTTCAGTTCATAAAAAATTCATTGAGATCTGCCTTGAGATCTCATTTCTTGGCCTCCAGATTCCAGCTTCCTTATCTAGTAAGTAGGTGTGTGTACCTTTCACAGATTCTTTGTAAGGGAACAATGAATGAATGAATGAATGAATGCAAGATCTGCCCTTGGAAAAGGCTGACACTCAGCATCTCTCTTTAACTAAGTATACCTAGATCTCTGCCTCTTACACATTCAGCCCTCTCATTGAGGAAAACAGACAGCTCGCAACTGTCTGGCTGGATAGCCAGCTTATCTTCCTCCCTCCCTCCCTCCCTCCCTCC